AGCCGGACCTCCGTCCGATACTATCGTTCGAGCTACTCCAAACCTGGCCCATATATTTTTTAATGTTTTCACTACCACCTGCGTCGTTAGCCCCCTTACTTCCTCGTACTCCACCCACTTTAAGTAAGCATCTACCACGATTATATAAATCTTATTTTCAAAATCAAAAAAATCAACGTGTATCCTCTCCCATGGCTGAGTCACCTTTGGCCAAACACTCTTCCTGTCCTTATGGGGCATTTTGGCCCATGTATTGCACATCAAACAACCTCGGCAAATATTTTCAATTTCCCTATTCATGCCAGGCCACCACACGTATTCACGCCCTCATTGTTTCATTCGTTAAGTACCTTGATGTCCCGCATGTATCATGGATAACACTGCGCCTCTCAATTTCATTGGTACTACTCCTCTGTTTCCTCGCACCAGGCATTCATCCACTATAACCAGCTCTTTTTCTATGCTTCTGAAATATTTATCTCCCTCTCTCCAAGGTCTCTTCCCCATAACACTCCTTTTAATTCTCATCAGTTCGCGATCTTTCAAAGTGACCTTCTTTAACTCTTTCCACGTCACGGGACCACTCTAGATATCCCTGCTATCGCTCGAATCAGTCCTTTTTCCTTTCTTTCCTCCACTTCTTCAGATCTTACTTCTTCCCCTTCTCTTCCAGCGCCACATCGAGATAAAATATCAGGTAAATAGTTTTCCCTTCCCCGCCTATATTTTATTTGCACATCAAAACTACCTACCAGTAATAACCATCTTTGTAACCGAGGAGACAACATTAACTCCTTATTATCTTTCTTGAAAAGATGGACTAAGGTTTGTGATCCGTATAGATTACAAATCTGTGACCAATTAAGTATTCTCGACACTTGGTTAGTCCAAAAATAACTGCCAAAGCCTCTTGTTCAATCACGGAATACCTTGTTTCGGCGGCTCTAAAAATTCTCGAGAAAAACAAAATAGGTCTTCCCAGCTTGTCTATACAATGCAACAATGCTCCGCCCACACCCCTATTCGAAGCATCTACAGCTAATATCACTTCTAAATCGTTATTAAAACATACTAAAACTGGTTCTCTTCCGATTCTACTTTTCAACTCTTCAAAAGCATCCTCCTGCTCATCTTGCCACACAAATTTTCTCCTTTCTTTAATAACTTATATAAAGGTGCTGCTATCTGTGCAAAACTCTCTACAAATCGATGATAATAGTTTACCATTCCCAGAAAAGTCTGCACCTCCACTTTATTATTTGGTCTTAGCATACTCGCAATCCCCGTCATGTTTTTGTCTACCGGCCTCACCTCCTTTCTAGTGATTCTATGTCCCAAATAGACAACTTCCGACACTCCTAACACACTTTTTCCGCGCTCGCCCGTAATCCTTTATTTCTGATTCTTTTAAATACCTCTTCTAATCTTTGTTCATGTTGTTCAGGAGTTCCTCCCATCACTAAAACGTCATCCATATAATAAAACACACCTTCCAACCCTTGAAAAACAGCAGCCATAGTCCGTTGAAAAATCGGAGCTGACACGCTGAGTCCAAATGGTAATCTACAGAATGCATATAAACCCTTCGGAGTAGTGATAGTCAATAGCTTTCGTATCTCCGGCTTCACTCGTAATTGCAAGTAGGCATTGGAAAAATCTACTTTTGAAAAATAACTACCCTTCAAATTTGCTAATATTTCTTCAATTCTCGGCAGCGGATATTTGACCTCCACTACCCACGGATTGAGCGTGACCCTAAAATCTGCACATAAACGGAGCCTTCCATTGGTATTCTTCACTGGCACTAACGGTGTCGCCCATTCACTATATTCTACAGGACATACAATGCCTTTCTGTACCCATCGATCCAATTCCTTATCCACTTCGTTTCGCCATTCGAACGGTATTCGTCGTAAAGCACAAAATTTTGGAACATGTCCCTCCTTTAACTTGATATCCACTTCGTAATCTCAAAGACATCCCAAACTTTCCTCAAAGATTTCATTATAATCATCCACCAATCTTCGCACTCCCTCTTGTACCTTGATTATTCCGACTTCTATCTCCCTGCTTTGAAATCCCTCCTCTTCTTGTCGGTTGGTCTCTTCCCCCTTCATATCTACTATCGGATTATATATTCCTTTTGTTTTTTCTTTCTTTATGTAACCTTTTCTGGCCCATTCTTTTGGCAGCCCTGTTCCATTATTTAGAATTTTATCTGACTTCAACTCCAACTCTTTTTGATCAGGAATTTTTTCCCTCTCCTCAGTTTTGTCTTCCTCCTAAAGTCACGACAATCCTTAAAAATTCCCATATTTTTTCTTCTAAAATTTCTCTTTACGTACATCTTCATATTTCCCCCTATTTCTCTCATAGAATTTCCCCCGATTTCTCTCCTCAAATTTCCCTTTATTTCTCCCCTAAAATTTCCCCCGATTTCTCTCACAGAATTTCTCCCAATTTCTCTCCTAAAATTTCCCCCGATTTCTCTCATAGAATTCCCCCCGATTTCTCCCTTACAATTCCCCCTGATTTCTCCCCTAAAATTTTCCCCTACTTCCTCCGACCTCCACCTTCTTCTCTCCCCCTTACTTCCCCCAAAAAGATCTCAATTCCTGGCAATTTCTCTCCATACCAATAATTCAAATCTTTTCTCCTCTTCTCTCATAATTGGTAAAAATGTACCCACCATGCGAACACACCCCAAAACCCACAATCTGGTCCCATTCGAGTAATCCAATCCCATCCCAATACAGCTTCTACCCTTCGCTTAATTATCCACAGATCCAATATCTCCCTTCTATTCTCCAACATTACTTCTAATTCCACCCTTCCCATTACAGCCACCTCTGATCCGTCCAACTGCCGGATCTTGATGTCTTCACTTTTAATCATTTCCTCCGCCCAAATACTTCTATATTTTTCATAACTCATTACAGAGATGGCTGCTCCTGTATCAAACAACATGGATGCCATATTTCCATTTAAATTTATCCACACCCTAGGACATGGATCATGTACTATCTCTTCTTGCATCATGTTTATGCATTTCATTTTTTTCATCTTCCCTTTACTACTAAAGTTGCCAATTTTTTCCAACCGCCGCCTCCCAACTTCTAAGGTTCGTTTTTCAATATCATATAGTCACAAGTACTAACACTCTCTTGCCACATGTCCCTCTTTTCTGCACCGAAGCAAATAATATTCGGATCTTTATTTTCCGTAAAATCTTGTATTCCTATCTCCTTTTCTTCCCTATTTTCAATAATCCTCACATTTGGCACAATCTACTCCATGTCTCTCTGCGGAAATCGCCTCGAGTATTGATATTACTAACATTGCATTCTTCTCTATTGTGACCAAATCGTCTGCAACCTGCAAATCGTAATTTATCACGTTTTCCCGGACAATACGGGGCTATATGTCCATATTTCCCACACCCAAAACATTTGGTTTCTTGACAATCTCTTACCATATGACCTGGTTTTCCACATTTATAACAACTCAATTTTTCTCTTCCTCGGAAATTAAAACTTGTTCTCATTTCCATTCGCCTTCCCTGTGAATTTTCTCTTGGCCATCTATACTACTCTTCCAACTGATTGTCATACCTAGGTCTACTATAATTGTCCCTTCTTTCCGTGTTATTAATTCTCTCATTTCTATTTAACTCTCCCATATTACTATCGGTCCATCCTTTGATCAATTCTTGTACAGGTAACCAGGTTACCTTACCCATCACATCTTCTTCTCCATTATGGCCCTCAATGGTCAATGTCTGACCCTTAATCCTTACATTTCTATTTCTCTTAATCCTTCTTTTAAATAATAAGCTACCTACCCAAATCACAAAAATTATTAACGCTCCCAAAATGTTATATTAAATTTCCCAATATTTCATGAATTTTAAACTTTTTATGTTTCCTATAAGAAATTAACAATAACCTTTAAAATAAATATTTTAATTATTTGTAAAGTTAGGAGGTATGAAATAATTAGGACCGTAAAAATTCCTATAAAACACATATACATATATATACTGAATAAATAAATTTCTAGCGTTAATTCGCCACAAATACTAAGTTTTTTATATATATATATATATATCACTATGCCACAAAGATTCTTTTATATATCACTGAGCCCCCTTTTTTTATACCACTAATCCACAAAGACCACTAAGCCACAAAGATTACTAAGCCACCAAGACCACTAAGCCACAAAGATCACTAAGCCACAAAGATAATTAAGCCACAAAGACAAAGACTACTAAGACACAAAGATCACTAAGCCACAAAGATAATTAAGCCACAAAGACCACTAAGCTTTTTCTTTTTTTTTATATATCACTAATCCACACAGATTTTTTTTTATTTCTTTTTTTTTTACAGTTTCCCCCCTTTTTTTTTAGTGTCCCTAACGACCAGGTTCTAGCAATCAGTTCGCTCTGGTCACGGTAACCATTATTATTTAACTATATTAATGTATTGCTTTCTTATATATATATATAGGCAGTTTTATACTTCCTTTATTAGAATATTTCGTATAGTTTATAAATAAAAATATAAGACGTTAAAAACAGATTATAATTTTAGAATAAAAATTATTTGTAAAAAAAAATAATAATGATGATAATTTTTTCCCCTTTTTGGGTTTATATAATTTTTTAAAATTGTTAAAATAAATATATATTTATTAATAATTAGAAAAATATAATATTACTCCTTATAACAAAGAATCGATAAAAAAAAATATAATTCATTAGTAATCCTATAAAAAATAATATTTATTAACAATGACTCAACTATTATTAAATAACTTCTGTTACTAAAAAAAACGAAATATATAACAGTAAAAGATACAAACACAAAATGGCTACCAGTCACTTCAATTTTTGCCACTTCAAATTTGATTTTAGCATTACGATCGGCTGTCTATAGTATTAATGTCATTGTTTCAAACTTATAGGGGCCATTTTGACAGCCATTTTAGCTTATTTGCCTTTTTAGAGTATATAGAGCGCACCCAAACCAGCGGTAATCAATCCAAACATATGGTAAGAAAATGTTAAAATCGTACATACAAAGATGTAAATTTTTTCAGGTATTTATTATGCTGAATAAAATATTATTTTATAACCATGTTATTTTATCAAAGATTTGTTCTGATGGAATACATTTTAAATTTTTATCATTTTGTGCTGATAATCATTTTTATAGAACATTTGACAAACCTACTTGGAAAAACCCAGATAATCCGGGAAATCCTCAACTAGATCTTTTAGAAAACTTAACAGATTTTGAAGAGTCGAGAGACGAGTTTAGAGTAACTTTAATAATTATGTTATAAATTTTATAATCAGCAAACCTTATTAAAAATTGAAAATTAAATTATTTAATCTGATAAATAATATATTCTTTTTTATTTAATAATAGTATATAGAAAATATTATGGAGGTTTGTCAACCTAAAACTGTTCATGAACCAACTGATTTAGATGATAGAAGACCTAGGCCATCGGGCTGGATTCCCCCTCCAAGTTATATTATATATAAATTAGAATTATCCCCAAACCTAATGTATATAAAGGTATTTTATACAATAAGATTTCAAGATATTAAAATAATAAAATATGATAATTTTTTTTACCAATAATACCTATATTTATATTTTAATATAATCAAATATTTTATAACTAAGCTCATTGTCCAAATTTATCATACTTTGTATCACGAACAAAAAATCACCTCCTCCCTGTTTATTTTTATTTAAAATACAATGGCTCTCAAAAAGTGACAAAAATCAAGAATATTATGGGAAATATATGGGTATTATCATAAAAAAAATAGCAAATTAAATTACTTTTTACAGGACTTTGAAACAGACCTCATTAAACATCTTTCTGAATATATCACTGACAAAGATTTTATACCACCAACTCAAATCAATGAATATTCCCAGAGTATAAATATCAAAGGTGTATGGACAGAAGAAATTAAACAATTTTTGGCCAATAAAGGATTTTAATAAAAGAATGTAAAACATTTTTTTATATTATAATACACCAATATAACATTGGCCATCAATATACAACTTCAGATGATCTTTTAATAATACTGCAAAATAATTTTATATGCCTAGTTATTATCTATTATAATTTTACATTCTATACAATCATTGAAATAAATCTTTCCATGAACATTATTTTTTCAAGAATGGAGCCAATATTATATATTAGTTTAAGATATATTAAGGAGCACACACTACTTTTTTAGTACTATAGTTAATCTTAATAGTGCACTACTTTAACAAAAAAAATAGTGTTACCAGTAGTGCATCGCTACTTTAAAATTTTATATTATAATCTTTAATTTAAATTTATATTCCAAATGCTCTATATATCTAATTTATCAAGATATTTAAAATATAAATTCTACCAATAGAGATAGACATGGAAGATAATTGGAGACAATTGATAACCTCAAAATTTAATAAAAAATGATACTATAGAATTACTATTCCACAAATTTGCAAAATATTTTGAACCCTTTCATGAATATTTAGGCTGCTAAATCTCACAAATTTTACCACTTGAAATTGGCATGGATTTTACAATAAGATTGATTTCAAAAGATATTATCAGAGTTGGGCAGTATCGCGAATACTTGTATCTTTGATACAATCCTTTTTGTATCTTGTACTCAGTATCTTTTTTGACATTTTTAATAAGATACTAGTATATGTGTCTAGATCCTTTATTCTGAAAAGAATCTTTTATCTTTTGCATTTTCTTGACAGAAGATACAGATTCTTTTAAATATTCATGTTTCACAGATTATATCCTTATTTATTTGACAAACAAAATTAGCTAGCAAATTTACAACTCTCATTAAGATAGATAGATAAAGATTAACAACATCAAAACAAAATAAGTAAAGAATATATTTTATATAAAAATTTGTAACTCGAAAGAATGCAATTACCAATTTTATATTTTTTAATTTGTAGGATTATTAACACTCATGGTAGTGAAAAGAAAATTATGTAAATAGGTTCCTCTGAATCAAATGTCAATCTTAAAATTTTAGATGTAAATTTTTTTAAATAATTCAATCTACAAATTTTATTAAACATAAAAGTATATTATTTATAAATGTTATGTTATAATATAATTATATATTTTTTTAAAAAATGAGAAATACCATTTAGGCATTTATAGTATACCCTACCCAATATAGAGCAAACTACCACAATAAAAAAAGATAATTCAACCCAGTATATCAACTTCATTTAATGCCATTATTAAAATAAAACCAATATTTACAATAAAATAAAATTGAAATGGAGTAATGGGAAAATGTACAAAATTATGAAATGCAAGTTGAAGGCCCAAATCTTCTGAAAAGATAAGGGAGATAACAGGTGGTAATTTGCTAAAATTTCAATGCTTAATCAGGTGGAATAGCCTATATGCTAGTATAACTTCACTGTTATAATATAAATCACATTTTAATTTATTATTTGAAACAATTGATTGTTCCATTATTAAAGAAGCGGATATTGTTTATATTGAGGGATATTAAGGGATATTGTTAAGGCAAACTACAAGAACAGAGTAGTACATAATTAATGCCCATACTATTTGTGGTTATAGGTAAACTTAAAAATTTAAGTTGCAATATTGTCTACCTTTATAAAAGTTGTCCAAGATGTTATTGGCAAAAGATTTTGGAAATATTTTTTTTATGATGTTGAATATAACGAAGCTTTTTTGGCATTATTATCACATCTATATTTTAAGAACTTATGAATTGTTGGCTGATAAAGAAAATATTTTTATATTACTAAAAGAAGCCCTAAATATAGTACCAATAGTATATAATCAACTATAACACCAAGATTTAATATCAATACAGAAAATATCGATCATTTTTCTTTTGGTTAAACAAATGTTACTGAGTTCAATAACAAATAACATTGAGCTGTCTTTCTTTCAAATTATTTTCGTCGAAATACATTAGAAATGTTTTCTTATTATCCTTCCATTAAAGATTTTTTTATAATATAATATTGCAATATCTTAATCAACTCAAATTAAAAAGTTATTTAGTTTTGGCACAATGTTAAATTCGGTAAAACGGCAAAGGCCTAATATTGAATTATTTGAAAAATTGATTATCTTAAAAAATAACGATTTAATTTAATCTCTTTTAAATACTCTTCAAATTAATATTTCAACTCACCTTAAAAATACCAGACTCCTCCTGGCTATGCTTTGAATGGGCTAAAACTAATAATAATGACATGATTATTATAATTAACTCATTAAATATTTTATTAATTATTGTAAATATACAATCTTATTATATGCTTATATTATGTTCTTCATCAATAAATAATAAAAATTGTATTTTATAAACAATTTTAAATTGGTAATGATAATTTTATGAAAGTATCTTGTATTTAAGATCTCTCATTTGGAAAAAGATAGAAGTATTTTTTTGATATTTTGAATAAGATACTTTTATATCTAAGATCCATTTCTTTTTATAAAGAATCTGCATTTAGATTCTTTTTCCAGAGGGCCTGACCAATTCTGGATATTATCTATAAATTTTATAAAATTATTATATACTATTTTAAATTTAGTATATCCATACATAAAATTTCATAGATTGAAAGATATTTCTTTAATATTGGTGTACTAGAAAAGGCTATGTACAATAAATCAAATTTAATATAAACTGAATTGATTAACCCTACAATCAGAACCAGGTGTTCAAAAATTAGCTGATAAGTTTATAATAATTTTATAATTGATAGAGTTTTTCCTTTATCGATAATTCTTTATTTATCAATTTGATTAAATTCATTTGCTACTGATATCCTACTCACAGAAGTGAATGGCAAGAATATTTGATAATGAAGAATGAAAGAGTCTTTATTATTAGATCTATTAGGTCTCTTACATCTGCACAACATGTTGATACTCATTAAGGTAAAATAAAGTATTTTTATTCTGATCTTTTACTAACTTAAAGAGCCAGTAAATAGGTATTAAGGTTGATTAATCTAATATAAAAAGGTTAGAAAATTAAATACAACATTACCGTCATATGCTACAACAAATATGTAAGGCAAAACTTATACTTTCTTTTCCACATTCTAAACTTGGTGGTTTAATATATGATTTTATTATTGATATGCAGTAAAATAATTTTTTGCATATATTTTACATTTCTATATTAATATTTTTACATGTTTGAATTTAAAATGTTAATTTTATGGACATAGATTAGAAATATGTAAAATATATTATTTATTTAATTTTTATAAAGTAACGTAAAATTATCAAATATCACGCTACTTTTTTTTCCAAATAGCGTTAGTGGTACCGCGCCATTTTTAAAAGTAGCTTTTAACAACACTTAAAATTACATTATTTGTATGCTTAAAAAAATCCAATTATTTTAAAAGATTACCTAAAAAAAATATTCTTTTTATTATTATATCTACAACAAGAAAGGGATTTTAAAATCCAACGAGTCGCGTTGAGCTAGTGTTTATAAACGGCTTGATTTAGCCGTTTTAAAAAAAAGGTTAATTCAAGATATTAGCCAAAAGTAAATTATCGCTTGGAGATTCTCCTCACAATTTGCCGAAAGGTTTTTATATTAATGGCTAAATGGAATCGCTTGACAACAATACATTGAGCCATATTGTCTATATTTTAAATAAGATAATTAACTATTTGAGAATAAAAAAAATAAAATACGCTCAATAATTTGTGAAAGATAGCTGGCTTTTTTTGAAAAGAAAATATTAATTTTTATACATGGATTTAAAGATAAATAGTAAATAAAATCAATTTAAATATCGGATAGGTATTAATTATTGGATTGGTTTTATTGGATAGATCGGTAATAAGTTTGATCGGCACAGCCAGCTTCTAAATGAGAGGAAGAGGGGTGGGGGTAGGAAAAGTTTGCTTTCAATAAAGGGGGTAGGCTAAAGGAAATATAAATTTGTTGGGGGATATCTAAATTTTTAGATGAAATAGGCAAAATATTTCTGTAAAAAATTATTTTTATTTAGACCTATTATAATAATACAATGGTATTGCTAAACATTGACTCCTCTATTGCATAAATCTTAGTCATTATTTTTTAAACTTATTTCTGGAAAATTTTCTGCTATTTTTTCAAATGTAATTTAAAAGGGAGACTTTTTATCGCCAAACTCATATTCATGTCAAAAATATACATAAATAATGCATTGCATTAATTGTAAATGGGAGGGTTTTTAATACTTCTTGTTGTAAAGAATAAATCTTTTACATTCACTTTATTTATAAAATATACGATGGGAGTACCATTACAATTACAAACGTGTAATTCAAAATGTGAGAATATCGGCGGCGAAAATTTAAGATAAAAATATGTGATAACCATTTTAATTATGGAACTACATATGTGATGAAGACAACGATCGCTACTATATTTGCTTTATATAGTTTACTTAACTAACAGACTTAGCTTTAGGCTAAAACTTAGATAATTTAGGAATTCCTGATCAAACTACTGATTTCGAGACACAAAGAAACATTTTCCTATAATGTTATCGGCTAACATTTCCAGATATGTTAGGTCTCATCTGACAGCATGTCGGAGAAGAAGTTAGAGCTTAAATATGGCAGCGAGTTGAAAAAAGGAAAAACCGTATATATTGGAGAACATATTCCTAAACCTCTATTTTTGGTTGATAATCTAGCTTACAACCAGGAGTTATTATCAAACTAAATATTTGTGATTTTCTTCATAGTGATTTTGCTTAAATTTTTTTTTGCGACTTCAATAAATCAAAGTAGTGAAAAATCGTCGTTGACAAAGCGATATTGAATGTTAATAAAGTTCTTGAGAAAAGGGGTCTTATTTTGGTAGAAAAAGGATTTTCTATTCCACAGCAAAATACTTAGGGACAATCATTAAAAAAACTGACAGCTTGCCATCAATTTTATGACCAAAATACCTGAGGGGCCTATTACATCGGCGAAGGCGGATGAGTTGTGATAGGAATTGGGGATATAAACTTTTTTTCACTTTAGTTTGAAACCAATGGGATCCTTTCATTCTGTACACTGTGTAT